AATCGGATACGAGTCAGATGGGTCAAAAAAAAATCGGATTTGGGTCGGATTTGCCTGCAGTGTGAATGTAGCCATTGAGACAGTGGATTCTTACAAGTACCTGGGTGTTCACCTCAACAAGCTGGACTGGACTACGAACACAGACATTCTGTATAAGAAGGGTCAGAGTCGACTCCACCTACTGAGGAGGCTGAGGTCCTTCGATGTCTGCAGGACTCTAAGACATTCTACGACACGGTGGTAGCATCTGCCCTTTTCTATGGAGTGGTCTGCTGGGGGGCTGGATGTACTGAAAGGGACAGGAACAGGATCGACAAACTGGGACGGAGGTCAAGCTCTGTCCTGGGATGTCCTCTGGAGCCTGTGGTAGTGGTGGGAGTAGGATGTTAGCAAAGCTGACAGCCATCATGGACAACCCCCACCRCCCTCTGCATGAAACCGTGAGGGGGCTGAGCAGCTCCTTCAGAGACTAAACATCCTCGCTGCAGGACGGAGCGCTTCTGTAGGTCATTTATTCCAACTGTAGTTAAGACTGTATAACACATCATGATGTTATCAGTCACTTGGACAATTCACCTACACTGCCATCACCAACATGCACCTTCATATACATTCATTTATTTACTGTACTATACGGTATATACACGTGTTTATGTATATGTGTAAGTACATTGTTATATATCACGTGTGTGGTTTTTTGTTTTTCTTTATTCTATCTCACCYTCTCCTGTATTGAGCTGCAGTAATGTCCAAATTTCCCCACCGTGGGAGCAATAAAGTTTTATCCTAAGACCTTCCTACAGCTTATATTGAATGCAATGACCATAATCACAAAGGCCACATGATGAAGAACAATTTCATAATAAAAATTAAAGAAAAGTTGAACTTTTTAAAGTGCAGTTAATCCAGAAATCCTGAGTGAACCGATTATAGTGGTTTCACCTAGAAACTATGAAGTGATTAGACTCAGTCAACTGGACCAGCCTGAGGAAGGATGCAACATCCTGAGTATAAATACCACACGGTGCATTTGTTGTTCAGTGCCTTTACAGCCATCTGTGTTTGCAGTGATGTAAACAGTTAACAGCGAGGACACAAACACAAACCTGGTCATGTCTCCAGGACACCATCAACACCGTTAAGGAGAGCATAAATCCTGATGGGTGAGTTAATGTTCTTGATGGTGACCGTTTCTGAGCAGCTCAACGTTTCCCTTTTATCATATTATAGATAACTCATAATGCTTAACGTCCCCACACTATTTTAAACGCCTGAGTCACAATAAACCCGTCATTATCTACAAACCTTGAGGCATGGGGCCTCCATAATAAGCAAAGGCTCTAAAAGTGTTTTATCTAGCTACAGGGTAAAAGGTAAAGAGACCTCGGGGGTCAAAAAATGAGTTTGACTATATCTGGGCCTTGATGTTGTCTTCACAGCTGGAGCATCAACCGTGTCACCAAGACACGCAGTCCTCTGATCACCAGGAGACCTTGTTCCCGCTGCTTCGACCCCTCCACCCCGCTGAACGGAAGTTTCATCGCGCTCAGCTAGCTCAAAACACGTTATGGACTGTTGTGTCACGTGAGGTTCGTATTGAGTCGTTTTAGTACTCACCTGCTTGATAAAAGAGAAGACGGAACCCACTTCCCCYCTCTCTCTCCCGGCTAACGTTACGTCCGTCTGCTCGTCCCCGTGGTTTGTGTTGAGCAGCCGAGGAGGAGCGCGAGACACCCGGAGGCGGAAAGTAACTCAAACACGAGAGTCGACGGTGGTGAAAGGATGAGGACCAGCCGAAAGCCCGAACGAGCTCCTTCTTCTGCTTATGTCACTGTTTCCAAACAGCTCTCCGATGTGCTGCTACCTACAGCTTTCATAAAGCCACGGGGGTAGAGAGTCGCAGCCTGTCACGCATGCGCTCATTTCTAGTGACGACAACAGCTAACTTCTGGGCCCGCCTTAGAGTCAAGGGTCAGCCAATCAGAAGCGAGTACGCTAGGACACAGCCCCACCCATGGCCCCACCCCCCCACTCGCTTAGATAATGAGAGTAAATACGGAGCAGTTTTTGTAATCATAACCTTACTTGCATAAGCAGTTTCTTTTTTAACCACTTTTTTTTTTTTTACAAGAGCGGTCATTGAGTTCGTAACTAAAATAAAGAGCCCTTCAGTTTGGCTTCTTTTACAAATAAAAAGTTATTTTCCACCACACTGCCACCTTATGGTAGTTTTTCTGCACTGCTTTCATCAGCCTGAAAAAAAATGAGTTAAATCATTAGAATCAAGGTTTGACAGAAAGGTTTAAGCTGAAAGCAGAAGTAATGAAATACATTAAGAAACAAATTGCATTGAAATCTGTGCATGGTTTTTAATTTTTTTATAGTATAACAAGTGAAAATAAATTAAGTTCAATAAAAGACCACAATGTAATTCTAATTGTACTGCCAACTCTTTAAAACAGTTTTACTATTTTGATGTTGTGTTTGACTAACATTTATCTCTCTTGTAAAGAAAAAAAATAGGTTTAGTTTTAGAAATCAAAGACATTTAAAGATGAGTGTAATGTGATGCAGGATTCAAACAGCTGTTCTGTAAAAAATTTCTTGTGATTTTTTTTTTTTTTTTTGGTGAAACAATTGTGATGCGTTCTTTTTCTAATTTGCATTTGACTGCAAGAAACCCAAAAATCTCAATGACCAAAATGTCAAACGAACATTAGAAGAAAACCTCTATAAGTGTGTACAATCCTGGTCTAAGAGGGTTAGGGTTTTACTTTTTTTCCTCTGCTCCAACCCACTCGATTCAGTGATTTAATTCCTTCAAGTTCTGCAGAAGCCCGTTATTTAACACGCAGAACAGTGACCCTGCAGGATTGGACACCCCCTGGGCCCGTATTTATCAAACTTCTTAGACAAAATGCTGCTAAGAGTGGAATTAAGTGTAAAAAAATATTCTTAATTAAAAGCTGAGAGTAAAAAATAAGTTATCAAGCGTCTCAATCTTACTTTAATCGAAGTGTAGGAGTGATTCTTAAAGCGTCTGTAGAGCTGAACTGCGACACGACTGTGCAGCAAAGTTGATCCTGGATGACGTCGTTAGAAAAAAACCCTGAAATGGACCACAACCCCCTCCAACAGCTTGGTCCGAGAGGAGACCCCCCAGCGCGCTCCATCATTGTATACAGCGTGATTGTTATAATATTGTTTGTTGATTGTTATAATAAACGAAAAGTTCAATCCCACAGTAAATTTTGTTTTTTGTGGGGGGTCGCATGCACTTACCAGCTGAGTAGCCTATATTTAATATATTCTCCAAAAGCCACACACAAATATTTGCCTTTTAGTCCAACATGCACAGTTTTTAATTTTATTTTTTTACCTTTATTTCTTTTGTATTTTTGACTAAACCTGTTTTCCACACCTTATAACTGAGAATAACACTCAGGTGGGGAGGAGGACAGCTGTGATCTCTGTCTTCTCAGTCCATTTCAGACACCTGTGCTTAATCACTTGAGCAGTCTTAACTTTTAGGGACAGTCATTCTTAGCTTTAAGAATTTTGATAACTGGCCCCTACATGTACGTTTGAGATTAGGAGCAAATCTGAGAATTTTTCAGCACTTAAGTCTAAAAATCCACTCTAAGAAGTTTGATGAATGTGAGCCCTGATCTACAGAATCCAAAAAATCCTAAAACAACGAGGTCAGGCTGTTAAAAGCATCTTTAATGTACTGAACTCACAAAGGTCCAACTTCACTGAACATAAAACTGTGGCTCAGCATGCTCACATGTTCAAGACTTGATTCAGCACAGAGACACAATTTATCAGTCTTTTTCTTTCTCCACAGTCCTTCACTTTTCCCCAGTCTTACCAGTAAACATAATAGTCCAAATTTTAAAAAAAGGGTGCAATCTTCTGAAAAACATATTTCAATAACTAAACAGAGTAACAACAAAATACCACAAGAAACCTAAAGAAATATTTCCGTTTGGTCTTTGTCCATCCTCCAGTGCAGCACAGATGAAACCAGCACAATAAACTATTAACTATACATATATACACACACACTGGTTTCCATCAGAAGTGGATCAGGTGCAGATATCTACAGAGCCTTCAGTTCAGGTGCATATAATACATAAATCATAAACCTTTAGTGCAAGCTAATTCCACATTACATATTTCATTTCATGCGTTAGTTCTCTATTTATTTGTGATATTTTAAAATGTACATTTTATTTTTACACCATTCAGTCGTTTTAAAAGTCTTGAGCAAAACTGATCTGTGTGAATTAAAGCTACAGGCTCAGATCTGAGCCTAAATGTAATCTGGATTTCTTTTCTTTTTTTTTTTTTTTTGATTGCTGATCCTTTTTTGTTCGTACAAGAACGTCTTTCTTCTGTTACGCCGATCATCTCTGTGCAGCAGTCCTTGGAAATCCAGGAACAGTTGTATGATGCAGCTAAAAGTCTATTTCCTGTCGTTTTTACAGTAATATGTTGCGGTAAATGTCTTTAAATGGTTGGCGAAGAGGATGCTTGTTTGTTGGAGTGATGAAGGAAAACAACTGAGAGGATCCAGCTTGTTTTTTTATATCACATTTTCAAACAGCTGCATTGAGTTCATGATGTTCTCATCCTAAAAAACAAATTAAAACAATATTAGAAAATAAAACTTTTGTGTTTTTATTACACCATGAAGAAACAGTCATAAAATGTATGATATTAGTAAATCAGGCATCTCAAAAATGATCTTTTTCTTTATTTAATTGTTTAACTTTGATAATACCTTTGGTTTTTCTTTCCCTATACGCTTGTAGTTCATTAGCACACCTGCAAATCAGTAATCACCTCCACTGCATTTACCAATTTCTCTCTTGTTTTCTCTTTGTCAGCTTTTCTGTCTCTTGTTGTTTTTCTTCCAGCTGCTGCTTTGTGTGGAGGTCACCGCAGCAAGCAAACTTTCATGAAAGATTTGTAGATTATTTTACATCAGACGCTCTTCCTGGTGCAAACTGAGCTTGAAACTGCAGCTTCATGATTACAAAATAGCAGTATTTTCTTTATATTTTTTATATTTTATTCTCTGCATAAAGATGTTTCTTTTATTTTAGTAGGTTTGAACAAGCATTGCATGAAAAGCATTATGAATCCACCAACATTGAACTCTTTTTCATAAAATATTWGACTAAATCATACCATTTACTACCAAAATAATCTTTATATTGTGGTTTGYGTGTCATATTTCTTTGCCATAGCTCTTGAAATAGTTTAATGATAATGAAAATAAACATATACTGTTGTGAGAAAACATGATTACTCTGACTGCATGAGCCCCTGAGGTTWGGTAAAGTTCTGGGTTATAGTCAGGCGCTAAGACAAGAAATGAGCTTTCATCATGTTTCATTGAGCTGATGGTAATAATCACACAGTAAGTATAATAAAGACAGATGAAGACAAATAGAAGAGATGATTTCGAGATTAGAAATGACTGGATTTAAAAATAAACATGCTGTAACAAGATGRAGGAGTGTCTGGTTTTGATTTAAGAGGAAGTTTTTATTTTGTTTTGTTTCTTGATTATTATTGAAATTAATTTTGGAAAAAAGGAGCAGATAAAAGATTTTTTCTTC